CGCTCTCTAGTGAATGGATAGGCTACATTCTCAGTGATGTCACCGCTCTCTAGTGAATGGATAGGCTGCATTCTCAGTGACATCACCGCTCTCTAGTGAATGGATAGGCTGCATTCTCAGTGACGTCACCGCTCTCTAGTGAATGGATAGGCTGCATTCTCAGTGACGTCACCGTTCTCTAGTGAATGAATAGGCTGCATTTTCAGTGACGTCACGGTCTCTAGTGAATGGATAGGCTGCATTCTCGGTGACGTCACCGGTCTCTAGTGAATGGATAGGCTGCATTCTCAGTGACGTCACCAGTCTCTAGTGAATGGATAGGCTGCATTCTCAGTGACGTCACCGCTCTCTAGTCAATGGATAGGCTGCATTCTCAGTGACGTCACCGCTCTCTAGTGAATGGATAGGCTGCATTCTCAGTGACGTCACCGCTCTCTAGTGAATGGATAGGCTGCATTCTCAGTGACGTCACCGCTCTCTAGTGAATGGATAGGCTGCATTCTCAGGGCCGTCACCGCTCTCTAGTGAGGCTAACAGCTTGTAGTTCTCAATGATCCAGGATTCTGTTGGGATGAAAAACTCCCTGAAAAGAAAGCTACGTGTGTCAAACGCATTCCAGTACCAGGGTTCTAATGAGCATTCTCGTAGTTCGTTGATTCTTCCTGGACTGAAGACCTACCTGCCTGCCTTTATGGGAAGTATGGGCAGACAGCTTACATGGACAGTCTACAGGAGCCTGGCATTGTACCCTCTCTCTGCTGATCGTGGGTATGCAGCTTTCCAGGCTCCTAAGGAAAAAAAAAAGTAAATGCACATTTATTTTTACCTGCAAAAGAATGTGCATTTATTATTCTTGTTTTTATTTATTTTTGTTCCCAAAAGGTGAACTTATCCCTAAAAAGGCGCTTCTGTTTTTTGTATTTTTTTTTTTTTTTTTTAGGGAATGGATCGGCTTCACCTTGCAAAGACTCAAAGTGTGGGACTGAAAAAAAGGATAAATATTAATTGAAAGAATCAATATATTTTTTTTTTTTTTCTCCCTCTTTTTGATGCATTCCTTTCCAAGTTATTTTATTTTTAAACCATCCTAATTCCCTGTACAGCGGTGTAAATATGCATAAAATAGATTCACCCCAACTCTTAAACTAATGAATTTAATAAAACATTTCCCCGTCAACTTCCTGAGCAGATTCTGCCTTTGGGGAGATGATGAAAAAAGTATTTTTAACAAGAATATTTTCATTTCTATGTGCAAAGCATTTTATGTCCATTACTTATTTATAGTTATTAAAAATACATGCGTAAATCTATGTTCCCAACACTTATTTTGGCTGCCATTGCTAAAACACTTTTCCAGAGATCCAGGATTCTGTTGGGATGAAAAACTCTGAAAAGAAAGCTACGTTTCACCATTCAGCAAGGAGAATAAAAAAGAGTTCTACTTTTAATTCAGAGGGGTAGACTTCACCCCATCCCAAGAAAAACATTTTAAATGGATTTAGGGATGTTTAAAAGTAAGAAGAATCCCAGCTGACCTCTGTTGATCTCAGCACAGACCCCTTGGGATACCTTCTACCTTCTGCCTCTATGCCGTTACAAAAAGTCTTTGACCGTGCACGTATTGAGACCAAAATTATTCAACACAGAAATTGGAGTGTTTTGTGCCAGTTTGACATTGCTTTTGAATTGCCTTACAGCACTTGTAGGTCAGACAAATATAACATAACAGTTATAATGCTGCCCAGGCATACATCAATGTCTTGTGGATGCAACCCTCATATCCGACCGTAAGGCATTGGTTCAGCAGTTTCAATGAATGTGGAACTATGGAGAGTCTGACAGCATCACTCCACATTAAAGAAGATTAGTTTAGAGATACCTGGAGGACATGGACCAGGTGCCTCTATGCCGTTACAAAAAGTCTTTGACTGTGCACGTATTGAGTGCTGCCCAGGCATACATCCCTGACTTGTGGATGCAACCCTCATCTCCGACCGTAAGGCATTGGTTCAGCAGTCTCAATCAATGTACACTATGGAGAAAATAAAGAGAAGAAAGCCACCTACCGGTAATATGACACGTACATCCGTGTCAAAAATCTCCGTCTCACTTATAATATCAATGTGGATTTATAAACCCAAAAGACATAATAGAAAATATGGCAGTGTGACAAGGGCAACACTACCTGCAAAAAGTGGTTAGTTGAAAATCCAAGCGGAGTAATATAACTGCATTCAATAGCTACAAAAATATTTAGTTTGATCCCATAGATCATAGAGAGGTTGGACATAGAAACGGTGAACAAGTCAAAATAAAATTACAAAATTAAAAAACATTCCGCGTCTTCAAGTCTGGGTAATTATCGGCAAGCAGGAATCCACATAGGGCAATGGAATTCCCTAACTACGTGATCAAAGGTTTCCATATGTTTCTGCATTGTATCTGGATATTCTTCAAAGATATTCTTTAGTAAGCACCACAATAAGCGGAATAACTTCCTATAATGGAAACCAAAGAAGGATCATAGTAGTGGAAACATAAGAATAATTTATGCACAAGTCATGTACTAGAACAGGGCAACCAAACAAAATAATAAACTAATGATTTCATTACTGTCTCATGAGCCTGACTGTCATGACAAAATGGTGAATGCAAGACCTTCCTGGGTAACCACCCCAAGTGGAAATGAATTCACAATAGCAAGTGATTCTGAGAATGTATAAACATAAATCATGAATATCAAACAAAATACCTGAATGGAATAAGTATAAAGGTAAAAAATATATATTACCAAGGAGGATCAAGGAGACTTCACTTCACTTGAAATGGGATCAGGTCTTTGTGTTTCCAATAGTGAATATGGGGGTGGAAAGCCGGGTGGTCTTAGTATATAAAATCCAGGCTGATTGTAACAGGCAGAATATACCTGAGTATATATACCCAATTTATGATTTCCAAAAATTGCTCTTACTGAGAAATAATGCGGTTCCTTATAGATATATGAGGCTACTATCTCATACCACAGCACGTATGTAGCATGATGTAAACATATTCCTCCAATAGGAGTTCAAAAAATTCCCCAAAAATAGGGCTAATGGGCACACGGCTCCCAGTATATGGAATGTACTCCCCGTATATAAATAACAAATAGGCCAAACAAGCTAGTAACTTGCCACCGGTGGAAGAGAGCTGTAACTCTAAGTCGCCATGTGTGGGCTGCTTAGGATGATAGCCTCATCGTACACTATGGAGAGCCTGACAGCATCACTCCACAATAAAGAAGATCAATTTAGAGATACCTGGAGGACATGGACCTCTCAGTACACAGACATTCTGGCCATTTCTTCCTCCACTCCCCTTGACAAGGTGGGCTTTGCCCCTGGTGCCCCACTATAGTATTCTGCCCCCATCCCCAAAGGAAAGAAGGAGCTGAAGAAGCGTAGAACCCATCACCCCTCCCATCCTTTCTAGCACCCCTAATCCTTTTGAACTTCTCCCCCTTTTTTTTCTTTCTCACTCACCCTCCCCCCTTCCATGCCCTAAGATCCCCTCAAATAGAGAGTAAGATGTTCCCCTCCAAATAGAGAGTAAGATGTTCCCCTCCAAATAGAGAGTAAGATGTTCCCCTCCAAATAGAGAGTAAGATGTTCCCCTTACTGCCTTTGTAAAAATAAGATTGACCGTTTTGAAAAAAATCCCTGCTTTGTTTTGATTTGGTCACCCATGCTTCATTGTCGCGAGGTGAGCTGAACGGTTCGGGATTCCGGTGTCATCTCAACACAATGTTTTGATCAGGACAGTCTGGAACCCTATGCTGTGTCTGCATTTTTGGCATTGTTATATGGTTGATATGTACCAACGATTCCGTAGTGGACCACTCTCTCTGTAGTCACTACTATCCCTCATATTGATGTTGAAATTTAACATTGAATCCTACATCCTGTTTGGCGCCCTTGGAATCTGTTTTTTTATCTGCACAACGGCAATAAAAAAAAAATATTAAATTAAAAAATTAAGAAAAAAAATAAAAGTACTCAGTTTGTAAGATCCTTCAAGATTGTTTTATCAAAAAAATCTGTTTCTCAGAAGAATGAGGCAAGGATGTAAAAATGTGTAGTGGTATTCCCCATACTCCATGTAACGGAGAACAGACAAAGAACCGTCACTAAAGTTAGTCCTAAAATTCTGACAGCATTAGATGTTGACCAGAATTCATGACTTTTGATGTGTTCATTCCAAATTGCAGCATTCTTTTGGCAGTTCCAAAAAGTGTTTGGCTGTTTCTATCTTATATAGACTTCTGCTGTTGCCTAAGCACCCTGAGCTTGACTGCCGATGCCACCTAGTTCCTTCTTTCCATCTTAGCATACCTTTATTGCTGTAATTCTCAACTAGGGTTTTGTGGATACTTAGGGTTCCCTGAAAAGTTTCTAGGGCAGGGTTTCTCAACCAGGGTTCCTTCAGAGGTTGCTAGGGGTTTCTTGAGCATTGAGCAATTTCCACCTCTCAAATAAGTTCCCACTGACACCATTGATCTTTTTAAATGATCTGTAAGGGGGTCATTCTTTCCAATGACCACAAGTGTAGGGAGCATTCTTCCCACCGGCCATCACACTAATGTATCATAGGTTGCAGATCAAATCATTTTTAGCAGGAGTTCACTGAAAAAAGAGTTATTTAAATGGTTCTTCTGTGCTGAAAAGAGGTGAGAAAGGCTGACTGATCTCCCATCTGATGGCTCCTGCATAGTTCCAAGGATACTTGGCATAGCCAGCAACATGATGCCAATGGTCTTTATAGCTATCTGTAAGAGGGCATTCTTCTACCTGGCCATCTATGAATAGACATTTTCCCATTGACCCCCAATTATTGTTTTTCTTTAGTAGGGATTCCCTGGGAAAATTATTCTAAGGTTCCTCTAGAGCAGGGGTCTCCAAACTTGTCTAAACAATGGGACAGTTTACTGTCCTTCAGTCTTTAGGGGGGCCAGACTGTGGCCAGTGGGAGTAGAAAACACCCTGGAATCAGTTGGAAGCAAATTCCATCCCACTGGTTTTGGTGGGAGGAATAGTGCCCCATTGCTGGTGTTTGGTCCCCTTATGTGTATGTAGGAGAAATTGTTTACCATCATTGGAGTCAGTGGGAGGAATGGTGTCCTATCATTGGTATCAGTGGAAGGAATGGTGCCCCATCATTGGTGTCTGTGGAAGGTATGGTGTCCCATCATTGGTATCCATGGAAGCAATGGTGTCCCATCATTTGTTTCAGTGGGAGGAATAGTGCCCCATCATTGGTATCAGTGGGAGGAATAGTGCCCCATCTTTGATGTCAGTGGGAGGAATAGTGCCCCATCATTGGTGTCAGTGGGAGGAATAGTGCCCCATCATTGGTGTCAGTGGGAGGAATAGTGCCCCATCATTGGTATCAGTGGGAGGAATAGTGCCCCATCAGTGGTGTCAGTGGGAGTAATAGTGCCCCATCATTGGTGTCAGTGGGAGGAATAGTGCCCCATCATTGGTATCAGTGGGAGGAATAGTGCCCCATCATTGGTATCAGTGGGAGGAATGGTGCCCCATCATTGGTATCAGTGGGAGGAATAGTGCCCCATCAGTGGTGTCAGTGGGAGGAATAGTGCCCCATCATTGGTTTCAGTGGGAGGAATAGTGCCCCATCATTGGTTTCAGTGGGAGGAATAGTGCCCCATCAGTGGTGTCAGTGGGAGGAATAGTGCCCCATCATTGGTATCAGTGGGAGGAATAGTGCCCCATCATTGGTATCAGTGGGAGGAATAGTGCCCCATCATTGGTATCAGTGGGAGGAATAGTGCCCCATCATTGGTATTAGTGGGAGGAATAGTGCCCTATCATTGGTATCAGTGGGAGGAATAGTGCCCCATCATTGGTATCAGTGGGAGGAATGGTGCCCCATCATTGGTATCAGTGGGAGGAATGGTGCCCCATAATTGGTATCAGTGGGAGGAATAGTGCCCCATCATTGGTATCAGTGGGAGGAATAGTGCCCCATCAGTGGTGTCAGTAGGAGGAATAGTGCCCCATCAGTGGTGTCAGTGGGAGGAATAGTGCCCCATCATTGGTTTCAGTGGGAGGAATAGTGCCCCATCAGTGGTGTCAGTGGGAGGAATAGTGCCCCATCATTGGTATCAGTGGGAGGAATAGTGCCCCATCATTGGTATCAGTGGGAGGAATAGTGCCCCTCATTGGTATCAGTGGGAGGAATAGTGCCCCATCATTGGTATCAGTGGGAGGAATAGTGCCCTATCATTGGTATCAGTGGGAGGAATAGTGCCCCATCATTGGTATCAGTGGGAGGAATAGTGCCCCATAATTGGTATCAGTGGGAGGAATAGTGCCCCATCATTGGTATCAGTGGGAGGAATAGTGCCCCATCAGTGGTGTCAGTAGGAGGAATAGTGCCCCATCAGTGGTGTCAGTGGGAGGAATAGTGCCCCATCAGTGGTGTCAGTGGGAGGAATAGTGCCCCATCATTGGTATCAGTGGGAGGAATAGTGCCCTATCATTGGTATCAGTGGGAGGAATAGTGCCCCATCATTGGTATCAGTGGGAGGAATAGTGCCCCATCATTGGTGTCAATGGAGGAATAGTGCCCCATCATTGGTGTCAGTGGGAAGAATAGTGCCCCATCATTGGTGTCAGTGGGAGGAATAGTGCCCCATCATTGGTATCAGTGGGAGGAATGGTGCCCCATCATTGGTGTCAGTGGGAGGAATAGTGCTCCATCATTGGTATCAGTGGGAGGAATAGTGCCCCATCATTGGAGGAGCCCCACATGGCCACTGTTTTTTTTTTTTTTTCTAATTTGTCAGCTAGTAGGGAAGGAATTGGGGGGGATCCATCCACTAGCTATCAAAGCGGGGGATTGGCAAGGAGCAGAGGTCGTGCTTTCATGACATGTTACATGTTACACCATGAATTATGGGTTTAACATGTTATGAAAGGTAAACGTATCCTTTAAGTGATTACAAACAATGGACATAAGGGACTTTTAAATATGCACCCCATGAAATTATTAGATCAACTGATAATTCAGATATAAAATGAATTGATTTTTTATTATAATTTATATGCAGATCCACCATGCATGAACATTAAAACCATTACATCATATATATATATATATATATGAGAGAGCTCAAAATCATCCCATCGTGATATCAGTCATGAATAGTCTACGCGTTTCACAGGTATTTTGTTTCTTCAGTTCTCTGGATGTGATCCTCACTACAATATCAGTCCATAAAGTATACATAAGAATAGACAAATATAAATGTATAACAAAATCAAAATATTCAAAAAAAACCACACACACACCCAACCACCATTTTACAACATACTACTGTATTACCGTATGAGGTCTTCATTTTCCAAACCATTGATGGCAAAACAATGACACCGTGCAGTACAGTATATATGTATTACAGTCTATGCAGTGTATATATATATATATATATATAAAACAATATAACTACTAAATATAGTTTCCGTTGGTTTAGTTGCTGCACATTGCCGGGATGAGGCGATATGTGTGCACGGAGCATGGACAGATTATTTTGCCCTCTCAAAAGATTTCTAAAAAGCATTGGGAAATCACAGAGGTCATCACTGTTCACTGACTCCGCTTTGTGAAACGTTATGTAACATTTTGTGCTCTAAATTTAGAAGCCAGAGTCACTAATTGGTTCACGTAACTCAGAAAAAGCTTGCGTCCCTATTATTAGTAAAAAAAAATCAGGAAAAGCCCCAGTGTGGTATTTTATCGAGTCGCAAGGTCAGTTGAAAAAATGTAGACTTCATGCACATTGGACGTTTTAATTACGCTAACGTTGGCTGTGTAAAGTCTTTTTTCAGCGTTTTTTGTATTAGCGTTTTGCCGTGTTATTTCGCATTTGTGTTTTTGAGTGTTTTTTAGAGATTTTTTTTTTTCACCAAAAAATATTTTTTTTTTGTCAAAAATCGCTGGTTTGCTGTGATTTACTGCACTTTGCTGCATTTTTCAGTGTAACGCCCCATGTACGTGGGACTTTTCTGAACGATTGAAACTGCTGGAAAATGTAGGTTAAAAAACGCCTGTTTAGCCGCGTTTGCAAAACACGTTTATGCTCGTTTACGTTTAGAAGTGTTTGGAAGATTTTTAAAGATAAGCCTAGAATGCACTGAAAAGTGGTAAATGATTAACTATTTCAGACTGTTTCAGAGAAATACAGAGAGTAGAAGCAGAGACAGCAGTATGTGTTGAGATTAGCTTAGGTGTGAGTTGCTCATTAACATTTCTTTTGTTTTCAAGGGTGGGAAAGGTGTCTGGCGGAGGGAGTCATTAACTACATGCTGCCCAGCCACTGTACATATACGGCGGCAGGGCGGCACTCACAGGCAAAACAAATAGGGGACGCGCGTGAGGCGCGCCGCCGCCCTATTTGTCCCGCCGATCACCGCCGCAGATGTCAGTCGCCGGGTCACAGCCGCTCCTTAGCGGCTATCTCCTGGCGATCGGCGGCAATCAGTGACAGAGAGCACAGCTGCAGTAGCTGTGCTGTCTGTCACTTCCCTGTAAGCTCGAGGATGAGCTGATTGAGAAAGAACAGTTTCTCTTTCTCGATCAGCCTTGTCCCGCCCAGTACACACCCCGCCCCCTAGTAAAACACTCCCCCTCACTCCTATAACCCTTCTCTGCAAAATAAACTTAACCCCTTCCTCCCCATTGCCATTAGTACAGTGTCAGTTATTTTTTTTTTGCACTGATCACTGTATTAGTGTTTTTGGGGATGTCAGTGACCCCAAGTCAGTAGCCCCCAATGTCAGAATGTCCGCCGCAGTCCCGCAGTCCCGCCATAAGTCCCTGATCGCCGCCATAATTCGCTGATCACCGCCATTATTAGTATAAAAAAAACCTTAAAAATCCCAGTATCTTTCCCGCCATTTGTAAACGCTATAACTTTCACGTAAACCAATTAATTTGCACGTATTGGGGTTTTTTTTTTTAGCAAAGACATGTCGCAGAATGCATTTTGGCAGAAATTTATGACTAAATTTTATTTTTGCATTTTTTTTACTGGACGTTTTATAGCAAAAAGTCCAAAATATTGTTTTTTTTTTCCTCAAAATTGTCAGCCTTTTTTTTTTTTATAGCGCAAAAAATAAAAAACCGCACAGGCGATCAAATACCACCGAAAGAAAGCTCAATTTATGGGGAAAAAAAGGATGTAAATTTCATTTATGTACCGTATTGCATGACCGCGCAATTGTTCATTAAAAACTAGCGCAGCGCTGTATAGCAGAAAAATGGCGTAAATTGCAGTATCTATACCATAGTTTGTAGACGCTATAACTTCCACACAAAGCAATCAATATACACTTATTGGGATTTTTTTTTACCAAAAACATGGAGCAGAATACATTTTGGCCTAAATTTATAACCAACTTTGAGTTTACTATATATTTCTTATAGCTGAAAGTAAAAAATATTGTTTTTCTTCAAAATTTTTGGCATTTTTTTGTTTATAGCGTGAAAAATAAAAAGCGCACAGGTGATCAAATTACACTGAAAGAAAGCTCTATTTGTGTGAAAAAAAGGACATAAATTTCGTTTGGGTGCAGCATTGCATGACCGCGCAGTTATGAGTTGAATTAGTGCAGCGCAGAGTAGCAAAAAGAGGCCATTAAGGGGGGTAAATCCTCAGGAGCTCAAGTGGTTAAGGTCACCGGCAGGGGGGTCTTCATGAGGAACTTGAGGTGTGAATGGTCATTAACATATCTTTTGTTTCCAAGGGTGGGAGAGGTCTGAGGTGTGAATTGGTCATTACAATGTGTGACAAGCCTGGTAGGAACATCCTGTGTTCAGTGTTTTGTCCATCTGAGTACCTTCAAAACTCTTTGCATGCATTTTTCATGCTGGACAGCATCAGGAACTGGAAGAGTTAAAAAAAAAAATCACAAACGCTTATAAATGTGATTTGCCACGTTTATAAGCGTTTTGCGTTTGAAACCCTGATAAAATCAACGTCTGAACACAAGTTTATTGCGTTAAAAAAAACGACTGTAAACTGAAATACCTGTAAACGCGTATAAACGACGATGTGTACACGGACACATAGGAAAACATTAGGGGGAGTTCAGGGGCTGCTGAAAAAAATGCAGAAAAGCTCCTGAATGTCAGTTTATCAGCTGCAGTGTACATGAGCCCTTAATACATTTTTACAGCTAAAAAAACTCTAGAAACCCACTAGTTCTGTTTTTTTTCCAGCCAAAAACCATTGATTCCAGTCTGTGTGTGTATGGACACATAGGAGAACATGCTGGGGATGGACACATAGGATAACATGCCGGGGATGGACACATAGGAGAACATGCTGGGGATGGACACATAGGATAACATGCCGGGGATGGACACATAGGATAACATGCTGGGGATGGACACATAGGATAACATGCCGGGGATGGACACATAGGATAACATGCTGGGGATGGACACATAGGAGAACATGCTGGGGATGGACACATAGGATAACATGCTGGGGATGGACACATAGGATAACATGCTGGGGATGGACACATAGGATAACATGCCGGGGATGGACACATAGGATAACATGCCGGGGATGGACACATAGGATAACATGCTGGGGATGGACACATAGGAGAACATGCTGGGGATGGACACATAGGATAACATGCTGGGGATGGACACATAGGATAACATGCTGGGGATGGACACATAGGAGAACATGCTGGGGATGGACACATAGGATAACATGCTGGGGATGGACACATAGGAGAACATGCCGGGGATGGACACATAGGAGAACATGCTGGGGATGGACACATAGGAGAACATGCTGGGGATGGACACATAGGATAACATGCTGGGGATGGACACATAGGAGAACATGCTGGGGATGGACACGTAGGATAACATGCGGGGATGGACACATAGGAGAACATGCCGGGGATGGACACATAGGATAACATGCTGGGGATGGACACATAGGATAACATGCTGGGGATGGACACATAGGATAACATGCTGGGGATGGACACACAGGATAACATGCTGGGGATGGACACATAGGATAACATGCCGGGGATGGACACATAGGATAACATGCTGGGATGGACACATAGGATAACATGCTGGGGATGGACACATAGGATAACATGCTGGGGATGGACACATAGGAGAACACGCCGGGGATGGACACATAGGATAACATGCTGGGGGGTTTACTGGCTGTAGATAAAAATGTCAAAAGCCAAAAACAGCCGCGCTGTAATAACATCCAGTGTGCATGAGGACTTAAAGCTGAAGTTTAATCTGTTTATATTTTGCTTTCTATGATTCCTTTCTTCCTCCCTCCCCCGTCATCTACATGTAAAATATAGCCTATTTTCATTACATGCCTTTTATCAGACCCAGTGATGTCATTACTGAGGCTCTGTGATGTCATCACTGGATCTGCTTTTCTATGTGCTGCTGGCAGGTCATGTCTAGTGGAGGGGGGCCGGCACATGTCGTATTTATTTATTTATTTCAGGTACTTATATATTGCTGTCAATTTACACAGCACTTTACATATATATTGTACATTCACATCAGTCCCTAACCCTCAAGGAGCGTACAATCTAAAGTCCCTAACTCACATTCATACATACACATACTAGGGACAATTTAGACAGGAGCCAATTAACCTTCCAGCAGGGGCGGACTGACAACTCATGGGGCCCTCTGGCAATAGGGGATCATGGGGCCCCTGTGTCCTCGCCCACACCCAAAAAAGCCTATGAAAAGCTAATGAACGATACCAAGGGCATCTCATGGGGTCCCCTACTGACCCCGGGCCATTGTCAGTCTGCCCCTGCCTACCAGCATGTCTTTGGAGTGTGGGAGGAAACCGGAGTACCTGGAGGAAACCCACGCAGGCACAGGGAGAACATACAAACTCCAGGCAGATGGTGCCATGGTTGGGGTTCAAACCAACAACCCTAGTACTGCCAGGTGGAAGTGCTGACCATGTAGCCACTGTGCTGCCCATTTGGGTTGCCATTAACAAAGCGCAAAACTTTCTGCTTTCACATAACACCTAGATGTGAATGGCATTAGGGATCAGCAAGGGATTTTCTTCTCTGATGTAGCAAATTGATTTTTTTGCCTTCCTCTGGATCAACTGCTAATTTTATTTTAATTTTTACTGCTTTCTTGTCATTTCACTGGACTCAATTGGCTCATTGTATCGTTCTCTTTTCCTATGTAGCTGTTTGTTCGGAGGGACTGTATTGTGCAGTGGTGTGCACGTGGCAGGTGCTCTTTAAAATATGAAGATATTGTCTACAAAGTAATTCAAAGAGTTGGGGAAAAACAATTATCTGTTTAAGGAAGATAAAAGGCCCCTTCAGTTTTCATAGTGAGAAGACTCCTCCAAGGCGAAGAGAGGCCAGATATACAGTATGGGTGGGCATGGGATCTTATCTGCCATTCACATGTGACACATCCTTATCCTACTGTCACTCTTCCATCTTCTATTATGCTAATCTGGCGAGCCGCGTACCAGGGAAAAGCGATCCCGGCTTCGACAAAAGATAAACCGTCCTCTCTTTCCCAGCGTCAAGGGCAGGTCATGCGAAAACAATGCAATCCATGCAAATATTATTCTATGCAGACGGGTAAATCTGAAGAATAATGGAGATACTAGGGAGCATTTTTCTGTTTCAATACATTTTTATTGAACAAACAATGTAAAGTAAATTTTTTTCTGTTTCAATACATTTTTATTGAACAAACTGTGTAAAGTACATTTACAAATGCATGATGGTTTTCCAGTCTCATGGAGTCCTACATCTGAACAAACAGTGTATGAAGGGTTTACAAGTGATGAAACAATAGACCGTTGTATCCAATCAGTTGGTTGCTGACCCTTTTGAATCATTCAAATACAAAGCATCCCCCCCTAACCAGGACAATGGGGAGGGAGATGTACCCAAGGGGTTTATGGCAGATAATAGGTCGCATTCCCACCTATGTTAGGATAGAACAGTGGCTACACTCATTAAGGAAAGCATTCCAAGCCAATGAGGTGTTCTCAGGAAGAACCCATTTTGAGAGGGTAGCAGATGTAAAACAAAACAAAAATTGGCTTACTGTCAGGACCCGGGTCTCCACCTGCACCCTCTGCTGTGTCTACTGATGTCTCTTCATGCTTAACCACCTGGGATGCTGGAGAGCTCCCTGGACATTTCCTTATACAATCTTGCCTTGAACCTTTTTTCTCTTGAACCTTCTGCTCTTTCCATGAACTTCCTATTTAAGCCATGCCTTTGCGCTTCCAATTTACCAGATTATTGTGCTTTCTCCAGCCAATATTTCACTCTTGTCACTCCTGCTGCAATCCGTGTCTTCACTACCACTCCTTACCGACCTTTGGCTTGTTCTTCAACTATGTTTCTGCTTGATCCCAAACTTATTACCGACCTTTGGCTTGTTCCTCAACTACGCTTCTACTTGATCCCAAACGTATTACCGACCTTTGGCTTGTTCCTCAACTACGCTTCTACTTGATCCCAAACTTCTTACCGACCTTTGGCTTGTTCCTCAACTACGCTTCTACTTGATCCCAAACTTCTTACCGACCTTTGGCTTGTTCTTCAACTACGCTTCTGCTTGATCCCAAACTTATTACCGACCTTTGGCTTGTTCCTCAACTACGCTTCTGTTTGATCCCAAACTTATTAACGACCTTTGGCTTGTTCCTCAACTACGCTTCTACTTGATCCCAAACTTCTTACCGACCTTTGGCTTGTTTTCTGACTATGCTTCTGCTTGATCACAACCTGCTATATCTGCTACTGGACCCCGGCTTGCTCAACTCCTAGTGGGGTGTTCCTGAGGACCACAACCTGGTACTAACAATCAGCCAAACCCATCTCCACCATCAGGAGCTCTGTGGAACACCAGATAGTGTTTAGACTCTGCACCTTGGGTGAGTCCAAATCATCCATCAGGATAACCTGCTGCACTTATCCAGCTGGTCTAGGGGAGCCTCTCTACTGCTATAGCTACTGGTCTCCGAGCCTGATCTCTCACTGTGAAACTTACAAGGTTAGACAAGAAAATGCATAGAGTGGGAAATTAGGAAAGACAGAAGAAGGGGACAGGTTAAAGCGGGGGACGGCAACCCACTGATTGCGGTATACCTGTCGACTGCGGGCAGGTGAAAGGTAGACCGCGAACAGATCCCCGTGCTGCTAACCCCCGCCAGTTTCTCTCCCCCTTCCCCCAGTCTCCTCCACTGGATGAAAAGTCACCGTCCACTGCTGACTACTGACTGAAACTGTCCACTGCCCTGCTGACTCCACTGCCCTACTGACTGACACTGTCCATTTTTAAGGTAGGCTAAGTTTTATGTTTTTACAGTGACATTTGTTTTATTATATTTTTCTACATTTTCCCTAATATTTAGTTAGGACTTGCTTGTTATTTATTTATTTTTTAAAAATGATGCCAAACCGCCGTGATCTTTGATCTCTCATGTTGTTCAGGTAGATCTCCACCTCTGAAAGTTTTCCTACCGCTGGGGTAAAGGGTTAGGCCAGATAGAGTCCCCACACATGGCTTGGTCTCTCAATTATTTATCTTCAGTAAGTTAGTGTCCATTATGATTCATTAATGTTTCCCCCTAGGTAGTTAGCTGGTGGGTAGGTGTGATAGTGCTGGACTAATCGGAATGAGGTATTGATATTACTGAATATGTCATAGAATTCAGTCCTCCTTCACAAGGGTTGATTTGCACTGAAGGTGCCGCGTAGATGGACCTTGTTCTCTGGTCTCAGGTTGTCCTCTCTGATGGTTTCTTGGAAAACACTCAGTGGATGGTAAAACTTGGGGGTGGGTATTGAGGAGCACCCGGTACAAAAGTTCCTGACATGAAAAGGTCAAATCAAAGTGTTTCTTGAACAAGGGTGTCAGATGAAGCTAATGAGTTTTGGGGGAAATGGCTCCCTCTTCCTCAGGGTAGGTATGAATGGACTCATGATGAGATACAATAAGACTTATGAAAGGATTTTTTTCAAACTGTCAAACCTAGTATGCTGACTGCTTGTAATAATTCTAGGTTGGATAGTTTGGATTTAGCCCTTACATACATCTCCTATTCTTATGTGTCCATTCATACCTATGGTTTCAGCCCTTAGGAAGGCACCAGTGCCAAAAGCAACCAGGGGTATAATTCCTGCCGCAGGCATGAAGATTCGCATCTGCGGCATGTGTACACCCCTGGCCACTGCCTCTGCAGCTAAAAGGGGGTAGCGGTTGGTGTGAATGAGCCCTAACTGAATAATTGGGGAAGGGGGGGGGGGGGGGGGGTGAGTGGCTCTTTCAACTATCTGCATAATGTAAGCTTGAACTTGGGATCTCTGTAAACAACAAGCTATTTTTTTGTCAATCAATTAGGGTTGGTCTGGTAAGCACATGAAAAGGACTTTGGAGTTCCCCTCCTTGGCTGGATATAGTAAATTCAATATATTTTATACATAAATGAGAAAAAAAATCTTTAAAGTTCCCACACATAGGCATAGAAGCTGCTTGCTTGCTTACTCCAAAAAGCTCTAATTAGAGCTTAGGCAGAGC